GCATCTCCTTTGTTAAATAAGGCGAATGATAGGAATATTATCTGTCTGCCGATATTTTCAAAAACTTCCATATGTGTTGAAATTTGAAATTTTTTTAAAAGTGCACCCTCCGCGTGCACAAGCTAGCTGAAACACTTCGGAGGACTTGGTTGGATAGAACTCGCAAAACTGAACATATCTGGACAGTTGTTGAGTTCTAGACCTTGGATAAAAGCGGTTTTCTATAGGTTTCTGAAAAATCTTCAGTGTAAAATTTATATTTTAGTTCCTTTTCAGCACTTTAAAAGCATGTGATGTAATTTTAAGATATGGTGATCGATAGAGTTTGAAGAGCTGAGCAAACCCAATGGTCTTTTTAAGTCTAAAAGAGGATTTTGAACAGATTTTAAAAAGTTTTCGAGAATTTTTCAGACAAATTTTAGCTTCTTTTCCACTATTATCGGTACTCCCGATATTTTGTCTAGTTTTTATCCGATACCAGATTTGTCTAGCTTGTAACTTTAGTACCGCAGTGAGATTTAAATCGATTTTCACTGAATCTGAGACTTTTGTAGCTGAAGGTCTTCGCTATTTAATGATCTAAAAATCATTCCAAAATTCCCATAGGAGACGGATCAGAGAGATTTACTAAGGAGAGGGTTGTTTTGGTTCAAATTAGGCTCTGTGCCGAATGGGAACCGTGTGTCTCTAATTGAAAAGAAGAATTTCATTCACTAAAGTTGGTCGGTGCGTGGAGTTTAACTTGTGTACTTCAGATGGACGTAAAAATCACAGTTAAGTATATTCTAGTTAATTGTACTTTAAGTTGTAAAGTTGATGTAATTAAGGGTAATTTCAAAGTGAGTGCTGTCCTGTTATATGAATAATTCCTTAGAAAAAAAGAAAAATAACATCAAGTAAGAAAGTGAGAAGAGAAGAAATTTTATGTTTTCAGCAGAGGAAAATATGTATTTTCTATTGCCATCGTAAATGGGTGTATGAGGATTAGAGACCTGCAATCCGACCCGACCCTGGGGTCGGGTCGGGTTCGGATGAATATTTGGCGACGCAATTTAAAATATAAATAATATTTTTAGCTTTGTATTACTGGTTTAAAGTTATCTCTACTGGAATTTCCTGGAATTTCCAGTTGAAAGACTTGTTTCAGAACAACTGCATTTACTAAGTCGATTAATGATTGAGAGATTCTACAATATGCACCGAAAAACTTTTGTCTAACAAGGCAAGTCTATATTCTTTCTCAAACACAGTTTTCTAGTGAGATTGTTTTCATCGGGTCGGTTCGGGTTAAGTTGTTGTCGGTGCGGGTCGGCATTTTGGCAGTCGGATCGGGTTCGGGTTAGGTTTTCTTAACCCGTGCAGGTCTCTAAATGAGGATTTATATGTGTAAGATTAGCCGAGTATAAATCGTGTACAATCCGATAGAGTACAATTATACAAGATTGTTGGTAAGCTCTTAATTAGTTTCGTATAAGCCCCTTCAAATTGTATCAATTAGATTGAAGGTTATGGAAGCGTTTTAAAATATATTCCAATCGGTGGGTTGTTACTTCCCTATTCTGTCCATTAAGTCGGTGTAGGTACGATATAACGTAATTTAGAACTGTTTTATACATAACTGCCTTGTTTTGTAATTGCATAAACATATAACATGTAGTCATTTTTCTTTACAGATGAGGTGATAGATAGAAAAGCAATGTTTCTAGATTTTAGAATGCATCAACAGCTGTAACTAAATTGGTGGTTAACGTTTAAAAATTATACTTTCTTCTGTTATATTCAGCAACTAAAAAAACTCTTTTTGACTACTATAACTTTCCGGCTTTCTCGTCGGGTCATGATAATCAGAGATAATGTGTGTTCGAACTTTATCTATTCAGTAAATAGTGACATTAGTTTTATGCAGAAAATGAAATAAAGTAGAAATGAAACACCAAAATAAGATTAAAAAAAAATTTTTTTTTTCTAACTCGAAAATTTGACAACATTCGTCAATCATGTAATTATTTTAAAGCAAAAAAATCTTTTAGTATTACTAGTAACTTTCTTTATGACGCTAATAAAATTTAATCGAGATAACCTTAAATTTCTCTTCAAGACTCCATAAAATACTGGAATAAAGTCGTATTTACGCTTCCTCTAAGGTAATAAAGATTAATCGTAATATGTTCTATATACATGTAAAGTCTACGGATCCATCCAAATTTTACGAAATATTTTATCGAGTCATTGCTTTTAACTTCCTCATAAATTTACTTGATAATTACTGGTTAGTGCTATACAAAGAGGACAAGACAAATATGGGTCAGTAAATCAGTAACAATTAATCTAACTATCACGACCCAGGAGAAAGTCGGAAAGTCATGGTGATCAAAAAGAGTTTATCTAACTCTCGAGTGTAAAAGAAGAAAGTATGAGTTTTGAAACATTAATCTTCAATATTGAGGCCACATATCTTTAAAACTAAAAGGGATCTTTTTCTGGAAAACACATCAAAATATAAGAGCAGAGGATAAGCATTCGCTCCGCGTCTTGTAATGTTTGAGTACCTTTTTCAGACTTCTGCCGAAACACTGTTGATTTTTCATATTAGTCTTTAATTCCTATGAAAATTTCGTTTAAATAAAGCAGAACTGTTGTCTACTTTCTCAATGTAATCGACTCCCAATTTCTTCTTCCCTTCAATCTTGCTGATTTTGTTTAACTGGAGTAACGCTAGAGCTTTATCAAGAAAGTCGAATTTTTGAAGAGTCTAATCTGTGAGAGAAATTTTTTTGGCGAAAGTTGCTAAAATTCAAGAAGGGACAAGAAACAAAAATACACAGCAAGAAAATCGAAATTGATTGTATTCAAATTAATGGTGAGCGTTAAAAATCTCGTTAACTTGTATAAAGATATTTTTCTAACTACAAATCTAGACTAAATATCTAAAATCGGACCCTATTGGCCCCTAACCACATGTATCAGCTTCAATTTAAGACCTTCCCAAGCTCTTTGCGATGTTCTGTTACTGAAAAATCTTGCAACTACGAAATGGTGTTAAGATGAAAGTCGCTTTCGAGATATCGTAGCTCCAGTATCTGATGCATGACTCGTTTACACGTCCCAGTGGGACCAATACTGAATAATACTTCCAAAAAAAATAACGATTTTTTATTTAAGGTAACTTTATACACACTTTCGATTACGATTTTTAAAAAGTAGACTAAATGTCCACATGTGGCACTGTTTCTTGACTTGTTCGTGGACGCTCTCTTTATATAATTTAAGATACGTAGTTCGAGGATGGTGTACTTAGCTGGTGAAAGCGTTACAGATAAATAGCGAATTTTAACTATGTCAACTAAACTTTGGTGTATTGAAACGGTAGGTCTTTATCCTCTTACAGAAGAAAATCGCGTTATTCGTGTTTTTAGATGAATCAAAAAACCTATTAATTTGCTGATCTTGAAGCCCGCCAAATTCTGTGGACTCAGCCTGTCCTTGCTAATCCTGCTAATTTCAATTTTTCCATGAATATCATCGAACAAGGTGTTTCCTCAACTTTTGCGTGAATAGGTGCTTTAAGACTATGACTTTAATTCAGTAGAGGAAGCCAATTTAATGTTAACTGAGACTAGGTAACTAAAAACAGGAAGAGTAAAAGTCTTTTTTCAAAATATTTCTTCTTAACTATTAGTTTATATTAAATATTGTTCAAACATTTTTAGAACGATCTACGTTAAAATAAGCTTTCTACGGTTTACACAGAATACGCAATAAAGTTTGTAAAAAGCGGTCCATTTCAAACCTTCAAACTTCAAAGAAAAAAATTTTTCAATTTATTTCAAATATTTATTTTTTTTTCTTCGCGAGATGAAGTACGTAAGACCTATGAATATCAGTACCTGTATCATTCTGCATAATTGCGGAAAAAGTTTATAAGGAATGATTTTGCACTTCGATTCCATTTTGACGTGAATCTTTTTTTGAGATGACATCAACAGCTACAACAACCAGCGCCTTTGATACAACTATTCCAAGTACAACAATAACTACGACGACAATTTGTTGTGATATTGATAAAGAATGTCCAATTAAATATGTAACTGTATACAACGATCGTGCCGAAATAACACGTTCATATAACAAACAATTTGATTTGGAAGGAACATATGAATTGATATTGAGTGGATTTTCAATCCACGTCGATCAAAATTCATTTCATGTCAAAGGTGGCACGGGAAAAGCAACAATTCTTGAAGTATCTTATCATACACGATACGAAAAACAATAAACAGATACAACAGTAGTTGAAATAAAACGTGAACAAATACGAAAGAAAGTACACGATTTGGATAATGATATTGCACAACATCGCCAGGAGTTAGAGCGAATAAATAAAAATATCAATTGGTTAGATGGTCGTGCCAATCATTTAATGAACAATACTGAAAAGAATGATAATTCTCTTCAACAGATCGAACAATTCTTAGATTTTTATTATCAAAAACTGAAAACATTGGACGAGAGTAAAATGATTGAAGAATATGAGTTGAAATCATTGAGTGACCAACGTGAGAGTTTTATAAAAGACTTAAATACGTATGGCACAACATTATCGTCAACAGTAGGGAGTGAACATCGTGAAGTTACAATTTTGTTGAATGTGCAAGATAAAAAATGCTTGGTTAATATAGAAATCTCCTATCTTATTTTAAACTGTTCATGGAAAGCCAGTTACGATGTACGAGTGAGCAGTGAAAGTAAATTGGGACAACACAACTCACCTACTATGGAATCATTACAAATCAGTCGAACGAAAATTGGATGAATACACAATTCTCTTTGTCAACAGCAACACCCTCTTTGAGTGGAACACCACCAAAATTATCAACATTGAAAGTAGATTACAGAGAACCATTTTATCGTCTGCCATCAAAAGATTACAATCATATGAACAAATTGGAAAGATCAGAATTATATGCGACTATGAAAAGCATATCGCCAACACGAGCGAAGCGTAGTGAGTCTGCATTGACTGCAAATGATCTTGTTGAATATGGCAATGGGAATGATGTTGAAATACTTGTATCTAAAGCAGAAATGAGTTTAAGTTCAACAAGTTTTAGCATACTACGTTCAGCTACCATCGAATGCGATGGAAAACCGCACAAAGTATCTATTGGTGTTCTCCAATTAGAATCCAAATTTACCTATACAATTGTGTTGAAGCTATCGCCGTATGCCTACTTGAAAGCTACAACCACCAATACATCCGATAAACAATTATTATCCGGTCCGATTAATGTCTTTATGGATAATAATTTCATTGCTCATAGTCGAATTGAGAATGTGTCAGCTGATGAAAAATTTGATCTATATTTAGGTGTTGACTCCAATGTGAAATGTGAATATAAACCTGTACGTAAAGTAAATGAAACCCAAGGACTCATCTCCAAAGTCAATCATGAATATGTGAAACATGAAACACAAATAAAAAATTTAAAAACAACTGATATTTGTGTCTTTATTTATGATCATTTACCATTATCATCGGATGAGAAAATTAAAGTAAAACTCATACTACCACAAGATATCGGTAAATTAAAAGAACATTCAACAACATCCGTGTCATCTATAATAAATGATGATAATAATGTGGAGTGGAAAGTGTTATTGAAAGCAAAAGAGGAATGTAAATTACCATTGGAATATTTCATTGAATGGCCAAAAGACAAGCAACTTGATTATAACCATTGATTAAAGTTGATGTATCTCCTTTTCTTGTTTGGTATGTTATAGATCTGCATGCGTATTTTTGTACAAAAAATAACCATCACTTGAAACTACAGACATCGAGTAATACAAAGTGAATAACTGCCGATTCTAGTCGGCATACAGGAAAAAAAGTACACATCGCTTTTATTTTTATGTAGGCATCTTTGCTGAAAAAACTCAGATGTCTTTAGATCCACGAATTTTTACTATGGATAAACAAGCTTTTATCAATAAAACTATTATTCTTGACTCAAGTTTAGTAAACAAAACATACTCATAACACAATGGGCAATTTTCATTAGGCACGTGGACTTTTGGTCTGCAAGCTAGAGGAAAACTTAAAAGCGCGTTTTCTATAGGTTATCTTGTGTGCTCTATCTAATCGAATGCTTTTCGAATTCTAAAAAGGTTTTCTAAGTAGTTTTCCAAAGATCCGGTCTCTAGAAAACTACTTAGAAAACCTTTAAAAACTCGAAAACGATTGCATTGATAGAGAATCATCGATAACCTATTGCAATAGTGTTCAGACGGTTTCACCTGTTGATAGTTTCAAATTTTAAAATTTCAGTCAAAAATCCCTATACGCACATGCAAGAAACAAAGGAATCAACTAAATTCCAAATTTTCAGTACAAACGCGGCTGAATTATACACCATTTGACGCAGTTTTTCATGCTGATTCTGAATATCACCTTATGTTTTAATCTAAGTGCTACTAAACTGAGAGAATGAATTGCTGAATTGTTTTGTCCATTTTTTGTTTTCAGATTTATTAAAATGATAAACATACATGGCAATTTGTTTTAATTCATGTATTTATGGTACAATTAGTTGATCATACTCATCAGAAATAATCATAATAATTTTATCTTGTTTCATGTTATTGTAAATATTGTTGCCACTGTTCTACAGAGTCAAACTATTATTAAAGATCAATAGTGTATCAAATATTTAACCTCAGAAATCATTAATTTTAATAACTCGCTGGCTGAATGAAATAATTAGTAATCAATTTCTTATCAACATCTTATTCTACAAAGATTTAACCAGCAACAACCCAAAGGGCTTAAAAAGGTGGCGGAGGACATTCGGACCCAGTAAAAATATTTGGTTCGGAAGCGAACTTCGATAACAAAAATAGATTTTTGATAAAAATGTGTAGAGTACATGAGATACAGAAGAGGCGTTCCATGACGGACTGTACACACACGTTTCTGTCTGAAGAGAAAATGTCAAAGAAGAGGTCAAGGAAGGTCTCCTGCATACCTCATGTATTTAAACTTGTTCTTCTATAGGCGCGTACGGACAATGGTAAAATTCGTTTATGGATGTTAGAGACTTGCACGGGTTAAGAAAACGTAATTCAAATCCGACCTTATCTGATCAGAATAACCCGCCCAGAAAAGTCGTTTTAGCTACAAAATACAGCCTTACCTTGTTGGACAAAACTTTTTCGATACATGTTGCAGCACTTTTGTATCTATTGTGCGATATTTCCATACAGAAAAACATGGTTTCCTACCAACTCAGCTCGAACCCAAGCTCATGGTAGTCGTCCTTTCTCCACACATAATCTCTCTTTTATATGGGTGAGAATATAGGCTGTCTCGCATAAAATGACTATTTGACTAATCCCATAATCCCTTGTTTTTCTAAAAATTGAACGCCGTACTTTCATCCGTTTTCAGGCTCCAAAAAAGGGTCAAACGTTGAACGTTTCATAGAAAACAAAACAAATACTAGCAGTACGCAAACAAGGACTTTTTCGTAGACAGGCAGTTTAGATATAGATAGATTGGTTACTTAAAAAAATAAATTTGTTTATTTCCAGTATTAACTTAGAATCTAAAGGCTTCATACTTCTCATCAATTTCTTTTTATTGACGTTGTTTTTCATAGCACACAACATTTGAGAGAAATCGACTTTGCTGATCGTATTTTTTACTGATTTGTTTGCAGGCGAAATAATCACATGGTAAATTGTATTCTTTCTCTTTCTCTTACCTTTTTATTTCTGACCTACAATAGTCACGAAGAAAAAAAGAAAATGGGAAATAGAGTCAATAGGTTTGTAGGAAACTTTCTCTAAGCAGCACATGTTGTAGGCGAAATAACTATTACATCACATAAGATAAAACAAAGTAAAGATAGAGAACTGTTCTTGCCTCAAATACTTTGTTGTTCATATTCATTCTCATTCTTGAAGCGGCATGCTTCATGTTTGTACTTCAAACCCTACTATCCGCTCTCCGCCTATATCCTCACTTTTAGTCTTGCGAATCATATTTTGTTGTTTTTCAGTCTCTTAATAAGTACGCTGTCTCATGCGTCTCAATGACTGACCTAATACCGAAATCTAGTGGTCTATTTCCTGTGGACTCGGCCTGTCCTTACTAATCCTGCTAATTTCAATTTTTCCATGAATATCATCAATTTCTGAGAGAGGGACACCTGAAGAGAATTTACAATAATACAACAAATGCTATATTATTTAAAGGAAAAACACGGAAAAATAACAATATGGGACTAGAAGACCAACTAGGAAACGCAAAGAATACCGTTAGAGGCTAGCTTGTTTGTTCCAAGCTTTTATTCTCTGGGATCGACGTTTCAGCGTTGGTACATTCGTATCCAGTGCTGATCCAGTTGTATTATCCAGATCTTGATGCTTTTGTTCGATTGTCTCTCTGTTTCGGTTCTCATAAAATATATCAATACCTAAAAAATGCAAACCGATAGCAAACCATGTGACATTCGTGAACACAAATGAATCGAGTCCGTATGTACCTATTGTGTATTATGTACCTATACTTGATAAATTTGTTTCAATATTTATGTTCGAAAGGAACGTGTTTTAAACTGCTTTTGAAACGTGTTCGATCAGTTGATGGTATGTAATGCGCGTAAATAATCATTCCGGTCGATACTGTATTTTGTTAATTTAGCATGAATAACAAAAGTTGAATCATTGAATTATCAAATGAAAAACCTTTAGCCATTCCTTAGAAATAATTTCAGGTCAAGCGGATGGAAAAGCCTTTCAGAATAGAGACTACGTGTTACTCATATTGTCATTCTTCATTTTGTTATATAATGTTATATAACCTTGATAGAGCGATATGGGTGTATTTTCCGTTGTATAATCCCAAGCAAAACTGAGTAAGCGAGAAAATCTAGCTACAAAAATAGCTCTAGCGCCCACTTAAAGCTAGATTAACTAAATTAAAAGCGTTAAATGAAGTGATAAAACTAATCTTATGTGAAAGAGCACACTTTAAAGTGTAGAAAAAATAATTTTCGTTTGTTTTTATTAGTACCTGAACACATGGAAAATATTCGGTGAACATTGAGATGAATTATCAATAACGTGGTACGTTTGATACCATATGTTTTTATTATTTTTTCTCGTTCTTCTTGACGTTTCAGCTTAAGAAAAATACATTGCTGGATAGAGAAGAAGTTGCTCTGTTTACTGATCGTATCAATTCTTGCTCTAGCTTTTACGTGCTTTTGAAAATTAATCAGGAAACTTGCGCATTTTTAATGAAATTCCGTAACGAAAAATCGGTATTTTAAAAATTGTTCAAACAAGCTAGGAGAATTCTGTGAGTCATTGAGCATATTAAGATTCTGTATTTCTAGAGCTACCTTTTCAACTAGCTTTTATTTGAAAAGTGATACGATATAGTTGCAAAAGGTAGCGTTACGGAATTTCACTTACGAGGGAAGTTCCCCAACTGTTCGCTTTCCGAGCGAAAACTAGAATAAAAATAGAAAACGAAAACTGGAGAATAATAGGTTATCAATCGTACTGATTCCCAATATGACCGTGGGGGTTGCCCTTCGAAGATCTGGTATTCTGGAAAACCAGTTTTTCAGAAACTCTAAAAAATAACCAAAATCTTTCTTAATGAGACACAATTGCAGCCCGTAAATTTCTGATTAAAATGAGACATCTCCCAGCTCTACATGACCTTTCTTTGCAAGGTTATATAATTTACATGAAAAGACCTAAACTAATTTCTTCTTATTTCTGTAGCTTTGAGCTGACAATGAACATTTGGGTCTTTTCTTATAAAGTCTATAACTATGCAAAGAAAGGTCATGTAGAACTGGGAGATGTCTCATTTTAATCAGAAATTTACGGGCTACAATTGTGCCTCGTTAAAGAAGGTTTTGGTTATTTTTTAGAGTTTCTGAATAACTGGTTTCCCAGAAAATCGGATCTTCGAAGGGCTAAGGGCAATCCGCATGGTCATATTCGGAATCAGCATGGTCGATAACCTAGTATTCACTAGGTTTCATTCGGAAAGCGAGCAGTTGGGGAACTTCCCTCGTTAATGAAAAATAAGAAACAGTATTGTTATAAGCTCTGACATCTCTATTTGCTCATGTTAAATCAGTACCTGCTATTCAAGAAGTTCACTCACTAACTGTACTAGATACAGATAAAATAGCAATACGTCATTATTCAAATAGTACTAAGGGTCGAATATTCTATTTTTAAGCGTGTTTATCCATGCGGAATCATTACGTTTTATTCCTCGAAAAATACAGGATAATTTCACTGGTGATTAAATTGTGCTTTTTTTATGTTAACGTAATAAATGGATATGATCAGTAATCGAAACAAACCACCCAGCAGTTTATTTTATGCACGCATCTACAGAAATATAGAA